TCATTCATTCATTCATTCATTCATTCATTCATTCATTCATTCATTCATTCATTCGTGTGGGGGGTGTGTGTGTGTGTGTGTGTGTGTGTGTGTGTGTTCATTTCATTTCATTTCATTTCATTTCATTTCTGGGCTTGGACAGGCAGGGAGGAGAATGGATCTTACAAATGTCAATTAGGCCAACTGTGCATAGAGCTGACTAGTTGGCCTGAACGAGGTAACTCTCCAAGTTAGACTCTGTGCATCCAGAAATTATGCCAGAGAATGACAGAAGCCACAGACTGAGTGACTTAGGAATTAGGTAAATCTGCATCCAAAACAGGAATAATTTTTTTAGCACTTCCTATTTAAGAGTTCCTGATGGCCAGCTTACAGGAGAAGAGACAGTTCAGATCCTGTCACCTGGTCCCCTGCACAGCAAAAAGCAGCAAAGGATAGATTAAGAAACAAGGCAGCAAATGAACACATGGCACTTTTAAAAAATGGGACCTCTGCTTGAAGCATGTGTGTATCAGAGCTATATGCCCGATTGACAGCTAAGCCTTCATTTCATCTCAGTATTGCAAATGAAAGCCAAAAGCTAAGAGAAAAATGGCTTAAGTCAAGTTACCTATTCCATTTAGACCTCTGCTTAGATTTCCTAGTCCACAGTAGTTTTTTTAACTACTGAAGTTCAGGCTGCCATCTCTGTATATTAGGTGGCCTTAAATCTTTGCAATTTCTACCTCAACCAAATCAATAATGAGTCAAGTGTCCTCAATATGATCATTTGCATGGACTTTCAATTACCTCAGCAACAGCCAGTTTTCACCTTGATCAGCTTCTTAGTTTCACTTTATGTATTTAATGACATTTATTTAATGACAAATAATATTTTTCATTATTTTCCCCCTTCCCCTTAAAGAATCTGGGCTAAAATATGCATATTTAACAATTTCAGTGCTTTGAATGCACAGAATACATATATCACTTAGAACTGAATCTTGTACTATAGGATATATGTAAGAAATTGGCAGGGTAATCCTATGCTTGCTTAGTCAGAGGTAAGGCATACAACATGGTTTAATAGAGCTGCTGTTACTCCTAGCATGTATACCACTGATGGCAGGGTCCACTTGCTTTGCATTGCACTCACTGCAGTTCACATAGCAAAGCTATTAATGCATGATGTAGCAAAGATTTTTTTCAGCCAGCTAGCTGTCTCTTAGCTAAATGTCCATAGGACAGATAATTAAGTACTATGTATTTTTCAGGCAAAATAAGTCATTTTTTTACAATAAAAAGTCCTAGGACCCCTAGGAAACTGTTTCAACCAGTACTAGAAATAATTATATATCCAAATCTGTACATTATTATACATAAGTATTCATTATACATATTATATAGTACATACCAAATGTTATTGTACATTACTACTTCATGTTTCCAATGTCTACTAATAGCCCACTGCTGCCCTCCATGGTCAGCAGAGAGTAATTTCAGCATTTTTCCTAAAAATAAAATGCTAAATTGACAGGAAATGGGGGGGGGGGAGCCACACATGCACACACATTGGCTAAATCTTACTTAGACACAACATAGTTTTTGCGGTTATTTTTAAATATCAGAATGACAAACTGTGCTCATTTAGACATAGCTATTTCTAGGGCCACTGTGCAGAACGAATGGAGAAACAGGCATCCATCTTAAACAGCCTTTCAGCATGTAGCACACATCAGAAAAGCAGGAATTTTTACTGGGAGTGCTACCAATGATTGCTGCATTCCTGAAGTTCTCCTGTACAAGAATAAAGTCAACAAAGGGGATTGGGTGGTGATGTAATGTCTAGGATATGCCGTGGAGTCAAGATAAAGCAAAACTAAACAAAAAAATGCAGTCATACAGAGCATGTATTAACCCTTCCTTGAAAAAGTCAACCACCCAAGAATTTTATGACCTGGCGACTTACAGACAGATGGCTTGTGCCACTCCCAAATCACACTTTTTTTGCAGTATAATACAAGTAGAACTGAACCTTATGTTCCATATTATTTTGTGTCCATATCCCACAAAAGCCTATAGTTTTATCCTTCTATCTTTCACTCAATATTTTTAGCAGGTACCATTTTTATCATCCTTTTAAAAAAACATTTCCACGCAAACAGCACTATTCCATTATGATATTAATTAAAAAAAATATTAATTAGGATTTTTTGACTAACCACCTTGTGAAAACAAGGTGACTCACAATTTTATGAATGTGCATATTACATTATAAGGCTATGGCACTATAATACCCTTTCAT